CCGATAGATCTTGATCTAAGTTCGTGCCAATATGCATCGCAAAAGTAAAAGAAGGGTCCGTTTCATGGAGCTTTTGCGAAGCATCCCTCACGCGGAGCCGTTTTCAATCCATTTTAATGTATATATTGGAGAAAACTGCCAAGCATGTTAACGGCGCGCGATAGCCGAGTGGTCTAAGCGTTGGTTTAAGATACACCTCTTGTTGTACGCAAGAGTTCGAATCCCGTCTTCGACAATAATGAAAATTATTTTTTATTTTTTATTTTTTAGTCTATTTTTTTTCGGCATATAAAAGTATTAATGACTGCTTTAATATTCGAGAAATAGTTGTTTTCATACGCTCTCGGGAAGGTTACAATTGGGCTATTCCCCTCGGCAAGCCTCGGGGAATAGCACAATTCTAACCTTCCCTTGAGCGTAATAAAACAACTATTTCTCTCAAAGCAGTCATTAATACTATATCATCTTCTTTATTTAGGTTCTGATAATGATAATAATAACAACTGGAATTTTAGTGCATTTAGCTCTTTTAGTCAGAGAAAAAGTGAATTGGCTTCAAATCGTTTATGGACAATAGCATTAATAGGTCTAATGCACTATATACGATTATGAGCAGATCTAGCTTTTCTTCCTCAAAGGAAGCATGAAATCCCTTTACATGACTTTTTCAATCCTCGGTCATGAAGAATGTGCATGTGGGAACGTTCATATCAAATGCTATTCCAAGTTCTTCCAAATCAGTCAGATCGTATATTGTCCGGTGAAACGAGTGGAAAGAAGAAAGATTGCGATAGTCCTGCGATGTAATTCAAGCTTTACCTCCGCACCACCCCCCCCCCCCCTCGCCGATTCCGAAATAAACAGTATTTTCGGAATTACAAATTACTCCTGAATAAGGTACCATTGGGGGAAATAGGGGAGTGTACATGACGTAGGCTGTAGGTTTATTCAGGGTTGGAGGGGGTATTTTTTCACCCATTTCCTACTGCCGAGGCGGCTTCAACATTGGTCATGTTGATTATTATGACAAAATAAGCACTGGGTACTGGTGGGGGGGGGGGGGGGCGCCAGCCCCCCAAAATAAAATTAAACCATTAAAACATTAAACCAGTAAACCAGTAAAACGGCGCGATTTTTGGAAAATCCTGGATCCGCCACGGGGTCAACCCCCCCCCCCCCCCCTTTGGCAAAAAGCTAGATCCACCACTCAGGCACGTAGCCACGGGGGGGGGGGGGTACGGGGGCCCCCTAAAATTTCCAAGATCGGTTGGACTTTTTAGACCCTATTTTTTTTACCTCGATCGATTACATGTAGGTGCCCCCCCCCCCCCCCCCCCAAACATCGAATTCTGGCTACGTGTCTGCCACCACTGACAATGCACGTGTGCCGTAAACGGGCTCAGTGGGGAAACTGAATTCAGATAAGGATTAGTAGATCACGAATCGTCTTCTGTCTCTAATAATTTAATGAAACGTGAAGGCTTCGGAGCTACGCGCGGGATGGGTGAAAATGATTTTAGACAAAGATTGAGAGTAATAGTCAAATAAAACGTCAAAGCTTCCGCGCTTTGCGTGGTAGGGGGGAACTGAATTCAGACAAGGACACGGTACAACGGATCGTCATCTTTCTCTAATAATTTAATGAAACGTAAAAAGCTTCCGCGCTTCTCGCGGGATGAGCGAAATTGAATTCAGACAAGGATTAAGGGTAATAATTTATTGAAACGTTAAAGCTTACGCGCGGGAGGGGCGAAACAAGAAGAGCCGAGAATGGTACAACGGATCGTCTTCTTTCTCTAATAATGTAATGCAGTGTCGGGGAAAAACATAAAAATAACTTGGTTCCCGGCCACGGGTTTATAGGGTTAAATTATAGACATTGGGACATTGGTATTAAAATATTTGTCGGTAATTGGTGGCTAGTTTTGTCAGTAATTGGTGGCCTCTACACCCCCTCCCTCCCCCCCCCCCCTCTCTGAAAGTCTAACCAATCAAATTGCAAAAGACCCCTACTCTTGGAGGGGGTAGGAAAAAGCAATTTTACGTCATATTACTCCAGGAAGTGCCTGAAAATGCGTTTAAAGTGGTTCCAAAATTGCAAATGCTTTCTACTCTGGGAGGGGGTCAGAACTCCTTCCCAGATTAAAAAAAAGAAAATGCAATTTTACCCCGATCCCCAACATAAAAAAAATCCTCTGGACGGCCATGCATTATGGCTCAAGGCATGGACACACAGAGGATTTTTTTGGGGGGGAAACCGGGGTAAAATGCAATAAATTATTGAAAATTTATTGCATTTTATTATTATTTTTTGTATTTATGGAAACTGCCCCCTACCCTAGCCCCCGATGCGTACAGTCATAGAATAGAATAGAATAGAATAGAATAGAATTTATTGACTCATTCGACCCCCTTCTGGGGTATGAGAGTACAACACATGTACATGTCATGATAATGATACATAATAAAGAATACAAACATAGCTTAATAATACAAAGAATACAGAATACAACAAAACAACAATATAAAAGTATAACGATAAATAGGAATGATCTAAACCTAGCCTATGCTAAACATAAATACAATATTATACAATATGGCAAGCATACATGAAAAGTGGAAAATACCACATGAACAATCTAAATACAAACACAAAGAAAAAGAAAGATAAAAACAAAAAATAATTTTACAATTTTTTTTTTTTGTTTAAATACATTATTGTCTTAACTAAAAAAGAAATTATAAGTTTCATTTTTGTACATGTAAGTGAGTTGTGATTGGATTGTTAAGATATATGCAGACTAACAAAATACGCCATAATCGTCCATTGGACAAACAAAAACATAATGGAATATAATGTAATAAGACAAACAAAACAAAAAGTATACTAACAAAAAAAAACAAAAAAAATGAACAAAAGAACAAACAAACCATCAAAACTATACTTGACCTAAAGAAAGACTGTACTACAGATCAAGAATTGTTGGTTGCTTAATTAACCTACCACTTCGGGTTGTAACATTTCTTTTTATGGGCGACATATGATTGGATTGTTCAGATTTACATGTATATAGACGAGCAAAATATGACATTATTATCCTTAAGAAGAGTACTAATTTCTTCAGCTGTCCTATACCGGAACATGAAAATAAATTCAACATGTGTGATGTGCAAGGGCGTTTAACTATTACTTTGCGACCTAAATATAACTCTCTTTCCTTTCTGAAAAAAGGGCATACAAAAACATAATGGAATTCATCACCAGACTCATGCATATCACAACATGGGCATTCAATACTAATTTCATTAACAGCTTCTTTGAATCTGTTATTATTAATTGGTAAACGGTGTGACCTACATCTAAAACGGCTCAGTGTTATTCTATCTTTTTTACTCAGCAAAACTAAATACCTTTCAAAGAGACAATCCTCTTTAAAGATCCTATAATTTAGGCACACACTGTTTGTCCAAATTGTTGCCATCACATCTTGTTTTGAAATATCGTTTAATCTCAACTTCAGAGTGCTCAGTATCCAACTATTGCTAAATCCTTCCCCTTGCTTTAGCCAAACAATACCAAGACCAGCATGGTTCAATATTTTTTCAATACAAGATAACCACTTGAAAGAAGTAGACATATCTACATTCTGACTAATTAACCTTTGCAAAAAATAAAATTTGACTGAATATTTAGAGGGAGAACCTTTTACTATTCTTAACCAGAAACTAACCATTCGATGTTTGATACTGTTAGCTAGCCATGCCCTCCCAGTTTCTCCATATATCATACAATCTGGTGTAAATTTATTTACACATAACGCTGACCTGAGAAATTTTCTATGGAATATTTCAATTTGACTCAGATCTTCATATCCCCACACTTCGCATCCATAAATGAGTATTGGTAATACAAGTTGGTCAAACAATTCACATTGAATATCCAGTGGCAGTTTGAGTCTTTGAACCTTTAATGACATAGAGAAGAGGGCTTTCCTGGCCTGTGATACCTGTTTTGAAATAGCCTTTTTAAAACTTCCATTATAATTAACCTGAACCCCAAGATATACAAAATCATCCACAACATCAATTTCATCTTCTCCAAATCTGAAAACTGGAAATTTACGTACTTTGCCTCTTGAAAATATAAGTACTTTAGTTTTCATAGCATTAACACTTAACTTCCAAATTTTACAATATTGAGACAAGGCATTCAAAGCCACTTGCAATTCCTCTGCTGTGTCAGCCAATATTAGGGTGTCATCTGCGTACAACAATGTGTATAATTGTAAGAAAAGATCTTTGTTTACTTCTTTATCTAAAATGTCAGCACATACATTTTCAACTAAAAATTTGAGACCTTTAAAGTGTTTACTGAGAAAATCCTCGAAATCATTAAGATATATTGCAAAGAGCAGTGGTGATAAGTTTTCACCCTGCCTAACACCAACATCGCATTGAAAAGCCTCAGACATTTGACCATCTACTATCACGCACGATTAGTCATGGTTCAGTGATAAAGCAATGGCCTCGTAACTGTGAGGCCCCAGGATCAAAACCGTGTCGATGTGCTATATTCGTGTCCTTTTGTGGGGCATTAATCCTCATTACTGTCATTTATGACTTTAGGGCGTAGGTCCCCTAGTTGATAAACATAGTAGCATACACATGCTTTAGCAGTCACGTAAAACACACATTGTCAAATTATCATTCAATAAAATCAGAGAATGTATACTATTATCTAGATCTATTATTTTTGAATTATTTAAAAAATAATTCCATAAATTGGGATAAAACTAAAATATTCCAACTTTATGAGCGACAGTGTATATTTCACCCCCATACCATTTTGAGCCCCCCCCCCCCCCCCCCCCCCGGTAAAATTCCGATCCGCCACTGTTTGCCCATATAGCTTCGGGAGAGAAGATCGGGTGTACGTGTGCGCGTGCATATACGTACCGTACCGTATATATCGAGAGTACGCGACGTAAACGAGTGCGCGCGCCCGGCGCGCTAGTGTGTCATTTTGGCTTGTGCATAGCGACAGGTCTTGTACTGTAGAACAGGGTCTGGGATATTGCTGGAATTTCAGTATTATTAATACTTATCGGTAAGTAGAGTGACGCTAAGAATTTGTGGTTTTATAAATTCGAAATTTTTTCTTTTTACCAAATTTGTCTAATGATTTCTCGATGATGTTTTCCTTTGGCTTTACGTTAGTCTTGAATCTATCGTATAATTTGTAATTTGTATGCACTGCACAGCTGCGCTTGTTCCCCATCATCATTCAGCCCGTTGATGGCCCGGTCACTGCCCACTAACTCACTGCTGCCTTCGAGCTTCGCCTGACTTCTCTATGCCCTGGCGCTGGCTATGCCTGCCTAGGGTCTAGACCTTTATCATTCATGGCTATGCCTGTGGACGCGGGGCTAGCAGCTACTTAGACAGAAATAACCGTCTGCTTTGGGTCATTTCTTTAATAAAACTGACATTTGTTGACATTCCCCAATGTCTAGTGGAGCCAGACGTAGTCTCAGTGGAACAACTGACGATTAGAGAGACTGAAGCTTTCGGTCTAGCACTTAGCAGCTACTAAAACATACACAAAATGAAGTAAATATTCACTAGATCTAGACTCTAAATGTCCAAATAAAGTTCATGAGTTAAAAGTCGCTATGTTTATTACCTGTTTCGTGTCAATTTTCTTGTTATTTTTGAAGTATTTTTCGGATAAATGTTGATATTAGTAGTCTATAGTTCTACACCTTTTCATACTTGGGTTTCACTGCAAACCGCTGCACAATACAAGTACATACCGATGGTGGGTTGCGAGCGGGCACGCGCCTGTGTGAAGTCATCTATCGTAATGAGGATCATTACGGAAGACTTATAATATGCACTTCCTCACAGGATTCACGGCAAACTGCAGCACAATACAATTGCATACCGTACCGACGGTGGGGTGTGGGCCCGCGCGTGTGTTCAGTTAGCGACCGTAAACTAAGATTACAGTCGCTAACTGAACACACGCATATTCATATTCTTTTCCGGCAGCACTATTCAATTGTTATTTTTAGAATATATTTATCTTGATCTTGTTATTTCTTGTCTGTTTTAATTGATGTTTTTACATTGTTTCACACAGCTCCAATGGAGATCAGTCTTGTAACTGTTTGGGCTTTTTTGACCGTGTATAAATAAAGATATTATTTCAATTCAATTCTTCAATCTTCCCCATAGTCACAGATGGTAACCCTTGCCACTTTCACAAGGGGGGGGGGGGTATCAACTAGCCAATTTTTGCAGGAATCAGGGATAAAATTGCCCTTAATCTGCCCTCTAGAAAGAAAAATGTCATCACGAGAAAAGGCAACCCTGTCATTTTGACATTGCAAAAAGAAAGATTCCCATGAATTGTATGCACACACATTCATTACTTACATAGTTCAGGATTTTGGAAGTGGAAAATACCATTTGAACTTTCAAGGCTTGTGAATGCAATCACTAAAATCAAACTTTCTCATTATTTTACACTCCTGTTTTTTTAATGAAGAGATTAAAATGTTGTGTTCATTGTATGTTTTGGTTTACATGTATGAGAATTACACAGACTTGACAAACCATACGAAGTTTACATACACAGTACATGTAGAAGCTGCAGATCAATCAGATTTATCATTTTCATTACATTTGTTTCTTTTGTAGATCTGGAAACACACCAAGGATCAAGTGTTTTTTCTCTAGGAGTTAAAATTAGCAGACATTCAACCTTAGGCAATGGTTTAATACTACTTGCCCAGGGACACTCAGAAACATGTCACGTCAAGTGATAATCAGTCGAAACTTTTCAGGACTGACCAAGTGCGCCCCACCACCAAGTACACTTCTGGGTGGGGAACTCACCAGCAGTATTCTAAAACATGCACAGAACATTGGTGCCAGTCTAAACCGGAGCTGTGCCAACCATGCCCGTACTTTCTCCCTCCTCTCTGGGAGCTCAGGCTGCAGGTCACTGGTCACTGACCACTGCAGATGGGAGGGCACCGGTCAGGATGGACTCAAGGCGCCCAAGGCTCATCCTCATCAGAAGGGTTATATGTTGCAATACCAAAGATGGAAGAGTGATTTCTTCAAGATCACCATGCCTAATGACTGGCACTCTATGTATTCTCATAACCTGACCCATGATCTACGGAGATTTCTAGAAGAGGTGAGTTATTATTTTGAGTTTTGTTTATTTGTAGGATGGCCAATACAGTCATTTATAAGCCTTTTCTTGATTTGCATACCGGTAATGCACTCCAGGGCCCCGTCTTACAAAGAGTTGCGATTGATCCAAGTCAATGGCAAGTCCTCCAATCAATCGCAAGTTTGCAGTCTCCAATCTCTTTCACCCGTATGTACATGTACATAGTTGCGATTGATATCAACTCTTTGTAAGACAGGGCCCAAGGCTCATTCATAAAAACTTTCTACAGTAAGACTAGTTGTCAACTAACAATGTATTGCCTACAGGCCCTACATGCATGTAATTAGTTTACAACTAGCTTTGTAAGGTTTTATAAATATGGGTCGGGTATCAATACGCATTTTGCAATGCTTAGTTAAATGTACACGTGCAATTGATATCCAAATTACTTTAGAGACACAGTCTCTTGAAAGATTTATTGGAAGAAAAAGTAGGAGGTTCTAGACTAAGAGGATATCCAAGAACCAACCAGCGAGTAGAACTTTATGACCTGGAGTTGATAGCACTGCAAGAGTGTATTAGACGACACAGATGTGTGGAAAGATGTTGCAAAATATCAACATCAACCTCAGAGCTGGAAGAAGATACCATGACAGACCTGTAGATAGAAATGATCAATTGTTTGTTCATTATCTGTATATCTGTATTGAATATCCATTAATAAATGGTGCACACATTGCACAAGTGAATGCCTGAATGGAGTTGTGATTGAATAGCAATATCCTCTAATCAAACATTCATTATCTATTTTGACTAGACCAAACAAAAATTGCATGATTGATAAGAGATTACAGTAGGTCATGTGACGTGCAATTACATACATGTAGAATGCCTAGATTCTCTCTAGATCTCCATGTACATGTATGTGTTGTATATATATGGCCCATGGCTAACCCATAGGATCTCAAAAATAACTTGAGAACCATAAGTATGACTACATGTTGCGAAAATGATACTGTGCATATTTTTCCACTGCTGCCAATTGTCTAGTACATGTACGTTATGCAAAATTTTTGTATTTAAAAAAATATGAAACCTGAAGAAAACAGTTAATTTACATTATAGGATGGGAACCTCATTTGTGTTCCACATTAATGTTACTACCCAAGAAAACTCCTACAGGTTTATATAGTGGATTGAACATGTAGATGCAAATCGGAGGAGTGCATTTTATTTTTAAGTTAAACTTTGCTTTAATTAGTTAACTGAGTTACAGAGTGTAGATTAGCAAGTGATCATCTTCTTCAAACTCTTAAAAGAGCTTGCATTAATACAAGCTCTGTGACGCAATGTCAATCAATTGCTTACACGACTAGGCTTACAATGGTACATGTACTGTACACAATGTCATGAGTGATTTCAAGTTTGGTGTTAGTTTTAGTGTTAGTGTTTAGAGCAGTCAACAGCTCTTAAATCAAGCAGAAAATTTGCTGATGAAATTAAGAGCCCGATACCGATATAAAAATTGATTGCTTAACACCAGCCGTGATGTCACCACATACTTAATTTCACGACGATGATTTAAAAATAGTACATCAAAACTAAAGATATCATGAAAAGTACAGAATAAATTTACGCCTATTTCTCTGGTCTTATAAAATAACTAATTTTACACAAAAGAATATATGAATTACCTGTTTCACATATTTGTATTTGATCGTCAGACAATAAATTGGCGTCGTTCGTGCATTGACTGTGTGCGGGTACAACACTAACACCGAACTGAAAATCAACATTTGCTTAATCCCTAGGGGCTAGTGTTAGTCAATAGGACATGTGTTCAAAGGCCGGTTCAGCAGACGACAATTTTGCCAAATCTATAACACTAGCTACCGGAAGTTGAGGATATTCAGAGGTCAAAGCCTTAACACCAGCTGATTTTCATTTCGGTGTTTAGGCTGGTGTTAGTGTTTATTAAACACTAACACCAGCCTTAAACACCCAACTTGAAATCACTCAATGTCATCTTGAAGCCTATTCCTAAAAATGTTGGAGACAAGAGAACAGTTTTTCTTCGCCAAGTTTAGACAAATTTCTTGTAAATCCTGTCTTGATTCACAGCATGTACCGTATGCGAGTCTATTTGTTGTAACTTTAGCATTTTATCAAGTACTCTAAATGCAATTTTCGTGGTCATCTTTCACACTTGAAATTGTGCGGTGGGAATTGCTTTATCTGAATAATGAATGAGATGATGCAATTTGTATGCCACTTCAGGCTGCATGATGTTGGCTGCTTTTGCAAACCTTATGACTTCAGCGAGAAAGAGAATGAGAGAGAGAGAGACAGACAGATATAGAGGCCCAAATTCACCAAGGAGGTTTATCTTAACCCATGGTTTAAAGTTAAACCCTCATTTACATGACCCATGGTTTAAAAATTAGCACAAATTAAGTGTTCATGTACCTTGCCTTGCGCGCGACAAATATTTGATCTCTGACCGTGTCGCGTTTATTTTCACTAATTTTAGACCAAGGGTTATATGTAAATGAAGATTTAAACCTCCTTTGTGAATTCAGGCCAGAGAGGTACCTGTACAAGTTGTATATTCAGGAGCAGTGAGTGATTTAGCTGTGGAAATATCCCAAAGAGTCCTGGACTGATCTAAAAAAACTCTGGTATTTTCATTGTACAGTCAAACCTGTCTATAGGGAAACACAAAAAGTGGTCTTTGTAGACAGGTTCCTTTAGCACATGTTTCAATGAGAAACCATTTTCAAGGGAAACATAAAATGTGCTTGTTGTAGACAGGTGGTCACTAAAGCAGGTTTGACCATATAAATTATTAAAAGTGTGTTACATAATACAAGGAATGCCCAGTACAAACAGAGCTCCCCCTAAAAAAAAGGAATTCTTACACTTATGGCAAACATTTTTATGTTTATTAACACAACAAGCCTTTTCCAGCAGGCCTAAAGACTTGCTGTTTGAAGAGACAAACGGTGAATTAAAAAAGTTCAAAAATTAATCATTTTATAAATTATTTAATAGCCGGATTATGGCAAGCTCTTTGAACAAACATTGTCTGAGTTTAATCAGTATTGTGTATTGGAACCCTTGGATAGAGTGTGCAATAAGCTGAAGTCATTGTAGGGTCTCTAAATGTCCACCTACATTTGTATAGTATGAACATGTAGATAGATCTATCATGTCACTGATAATGAATTGCTAGGAACAGAGATGCACAAACATTGGTGACATGATGACCTGGCCTCGGCGTGGTAGAATAGATAGAAGGGCATGTGTCACTCATCGATATGTCCCTGACTGAGCTGAATGATAATTACCTTACAATGTACATGTACACCCCATGCACACAAGGTTTGATCATTAAAGCTATTGTACAGTGAAAAATATATAAAAGAATGGTGGGCGATTTAATTTTGGAAACTTTTAAGGATCTCAGAAGGGTACATAAAAAAGCACAATAAAAAACATCATGAAAAGCATCATGATCAAATACTTTTCGTTCTACAGATAGAAAATCATTAGCAGCTCCTGTTAGAAAAAAAAAGGTGTCTGTACACTGCACAAGCATCAAATTCATTACAAAACTGTAAGTCTGGTGCAAAGGCATGGACGGTTACAATGTTATGGTTGTAGTGAAATCTACTGGAGTGCATCCTCATGTACTGTAGAACCATGTACACATGTACATGTACATGTAGATCTGAAATTGATATTTGAATCATATGACATTTCCCTGTATTGTACATTGTAATGGTAGTAGAATGGTAAAGTTCATGCAGTACACGTCTTCAGCAAATTTCGGATTCGAAATTGTAATTTATTTGTAAAATGGTAGGACTGCTGCACTGTCTTGAAATGTCAAGCGATCTCTTCAAACTGAACCAAAGCCACACACAGAATATGCAATGCTGCAGAAAATCTAGGCAATTTACTAGGATGCGCTTCCGTTTAATCAGAGCAAGACTCTCAAGGAAATTACCTCTTACCATCACCCATTAGCCCAGATGAGCAGACTGAGGAACCAGCAAGCCAAGCCAAGCCAAGCATGTGTTTTATTAACGTCATATCCAGGCTTTAGGCCAATTTGTCTCCCGATTTCTGCTGTTGGGTGATGAATTTGAGAGGGAAAGCATGTATCCTGGAGGGACTTAATAGCATAATTTGATGTAGGATATAAACAATGTTGTTAGTTTTGGAAGCATGTGGAAATGACAGACTGCGCCATTACACATTGTCTTGCTATCACTTTCTTGAAATAGAACATGTGTGCACTAGATTGTTCAGGCAGTAGTTCCACATCTAATACAGATGGTGTTATAGAGTGTACACAATGAAAGACAGGCAGAGACAAAGTGAGGGAGAGATACAGTTTGTAAATAGGGGTAGAGAGAGATAGAGAGAGATGGACTGACAGAAAGAGAATGAGATTGAGCAGAAATACAAAGTACAAAGAGAGGGACGTGGGGCAAAAAATCTAAATATAATCCAGAGATTAATAAACCAGAAAACATGTTTCAAATTAAATTGACTAATGACTATCAAACAAAATACAGAGCCAGAATGCCATTAACTGTGTCTTAAACTGTTAAGGTTCCAAACATACAATTTGCATAGTGTTCATTCTTTCTCTCTCTCATAATATTTTGCATTTACCAATTTTGATATATTGCCTGCTTGAGACTATAGTGTAAGTTGGTAAGCAGTCTGCATCTGTTTCTGATAAAGGAAAGAAAAGGACCTAGACATTGATGAATGTTTTCTTTCCATCGTTATTTACAATGAAGGTATATGATAAGAACTCATGTCTGGTCATGCTCAATATCAATTTAAATTTTCTGATCTGGCTTTTCATGTCATGGATTCTGAACCACTTGGTATTATTAGTCGATATGTGTATCAGATGGTTACTCCCTTAAAGTAGAAGTTCACTGATTTCAAATATTGATTTAAGTTGTATCATTGGGAAGGTTAGATCGAATAAGCTTATCAAA